GATGCAAATCAACCATTAAATATGACATTTGAAGCGTTTAAGGTAAAGGAAAACCAAGACAATATGTTTAAAATAATGCTTAAAAACTTTTGGCACAACACACACAAGAGAAATGAACCAACAAGAACACACGCAACACAAACACTGAAAAACCAACGCGACGCGATGGTGTCAGCCTTTACTAAAATGCTCGACAACAACAAACCGCCAGAACCACCACCAAAGAAACCACCAGATGAGGATGACAGCGATGAAGAAGAAAAGAAATTCAAACTGACAAAAATGATAGAAATAATGCTACACAACGGCGCTACAGTAGCAGATATCATATTAAACTTATCGCACAGCGCAATTGCAACAACTATAAATATCGCAGATTTAGTCAATCAAATAACAGCAGGAAATGCACAAGCTAGCAGTAGTTCTTCTAATGAAATTATTAGTGTTCATAGTTCTCCACCTGTTACTGTCCATAGTTCTTCATCTGAAAGTCCAACAGAAATACCAGCACCAACTGAAGACGAAGAAGAAGAAGAAAACCAACATTTCAATTTTGAAAAATTAAAATCTAAATAATATTATATATAATGGGTATTGGTCAAAGTAAAAATAATGAAAATAACAGTATGGAAGACATTAAGAATTTAAGAGTAGATGAAAAAACAAGAGCAGATACTTTAATCATTAAATCTATTCAAGAATGTGTGACACGAATTGAAAAACTGTAGAAAGAAAAATCTGACAAATTAATATATAAACTTCCTGCCTTGCAATTTTGCAATGCTTCGTTAATTTAAATTAATAATATTAACATATAATAATATTATTAATTGCTATCATAATCTGTCATTTTATCCTCTGGTATTGTTGTTGAAGTAGTACTACTTATATCATCTATTAAATCTTCTTCATCAACAAAATTATTTTGAAATCTTAATAATTCCTCGTCTGTTGGTCGTCTTTTTAACACTTTATAAAGTTTATGTATCCAAGAATTAGTATGAAAATTATAATTACCTCTACGATAAAATCCCCCACATCTACATAGTTTCATTGACATATTATTATACTATATTAAATTAGAATATCTTTATTCATCATTCGTAATTTGAAACGCCTGTTCAAATCTGATATGAAACATTTTGTTAATGTCTTTAGCATTCATATTCACGTAGAAGAAACTATAAGGTGCGTCATTAACGGCTTGATGATACATATCTAATAATTGCTGTTTATCAACAATGGCGCTATTTTCTTCAATAAAACTCATTAACTCACTTGCATTTTTCAACCTAAAAATATATAATGAACTGGCATTTAAACGAATGATAGGCGCTAAAACATTATATTTTTGTGTTGAACAAATTACACTTACTGCATCGTGCCTACCTCTTGTAAATAATCCATGTAATAATTTACTATATCTAACAAATTTAGGATCGTCTGCGTGGTCATCTATAACGATTAATATTGAATGCAGTTTCTTTATCTTTTTAGATTTCATATAATTAATTATTTTCTTCTGTCTTTCAATTACATTTTCTAAATCACTTGGATTATAATTATCAAAATATATTTGTTCTTTTTCATCATCTACGTGCAATTCATCCCTGATGTATTTTTTAACTTCTGTAAAAGTTGGGTCATTATGAACGCTGGGGGAAAATATAAATATTCTTGCAAATGAATTTCTATAAACATTTAAAATAAGATTCTGAACTAAAACTGTTTTGCCTCCCGTCGAACTCGCAACTATAATACTTCTAAATGGTAATTTTGGCACGTGCTCATATTTGGATTGTTTGAATTCATATTCAGTTATGTTTATTGGTTTTATTATTGGGACATCTGTCATAGTTGATATTAAAGAAATATAGAAAATTATATTTAAAAATTAACTTGTAATTAATATTAAATGGACGCGAGGAAAGCCTCGCGTGCTAACGCGACCATCATTATGTTATGAGTGGCGGTGAATAACATAATGGAACAGGTTTTCCATTGCTTCAATCAATAAGCATTGAAGATAATTAGTTTTGTGTCTTGCTCGCGTGTGCAATGAAAACCCAAGTGCTGTGCCCCACCAATATTCTATTATGCATGAAAATAATAAGATTAAATAATTATTTTAATAATTATTTCATCTTATTATTTAATATGGATAGAAGTTATTCAGATTATATTGATATAATAGATGAAGTAGAGAATATAGAACAAGTAATAATAACTGACAATAAAATTAAAAAATGCTGTTATTATTCATTAGAATTAATAAAATTAGGAATACAATATATCAAAAATAAAAATGTAAATATTAATATAAATGGGAAAAAAGAAAAACAAAAAGAATAAAACGGATACTACAGTTTCTTCAACAGATGAAGACAAAGAAGAAGAAATTGTTAAAGAAACAGCACTAACCGAGTTTGAGTGTCCTATGTGTAAAAAGATGTTAGAAATGAAAAATGAAATAGAAATACAAAAGAAAGGAAATTGTAAATGTTCGTGTATTCCGACAAATTTCAAATTGAGTAAAAACGATAAGAAAATGAATATTGATAAAACCAAAGACAGTATAAATCTGGAAACGGATGTTCATAATATAACTTTTAAATGGGGAAGGCATGCGTCGCCATCCGATAATGGTGATAACGAAGCACAGGAAACTATTAAACAAATGATGAAAATTTAGTACTTAAAGAGTAGATTTTACATTAAATCAATTTTATAAATAAATAAATATTTAAATAAATAATTATATAAATAAATATATATAGAAATGTCTGAAGTTGAAAATGATGTTATTGTTGAACTATCAAAGAAGATAATGACAGTTAGTAAAAATGTTAAACTGTTGTACGAGATGATAAAAACTATTGACCAGAAACTTGATGCAAAGGCAAACGAACCAAAAAATAACAATGAAGAGAAGGAAAAGATTGATAAGATCTTTGAAAAGAAAGGGATAGGCAGACCCAGCGGTGATTATGACACGAAGCGTAAAAAATATTGCGATATGTTAAATAAGGGGCAAATCAAAAGTCCAAAAGAACAAACATTAGAATATTATAAAATAATTAAGGGCGATGATGGTAAATATGTAATTGTTGAAAATTAAAATATAAATAATTCTAATAATATGAATTTATTAGAACTATTTAGTGGAACTGGAAGTGTAGGAACCATAGCAAAGTCGCTTGGATTTAATGATGCCCGCAAAATGGCGGTCAGGCTGGCCGAAAAGTGGCGGTCAGGCTGGCCGAAAAGCGGCGGTCAGGCTGGCCGAAAAGTGGCGGTCAGGCTGGCCGAAAAGTGGCGGTCAGGCTGGCCGAAAAGTGGCGGTCAGGCTGGCCGAAAAGTGGCGGTCAGGCTGGCCGAAAAGTGGCGGTCAGGCGGTCAGGCTGGCCGAAAAGTGGCGGTCAGGCGGTCAGGCTGGCCGAAAAGTGGCGGTCAGGCGGTCAGGCTGGCCGAAAAGTGGCGGTCAGGCGGTCATGTCTCTAATTTCTCATCGTCAAAAGGAAGGAGAAGATGTTAAAGAACATATCAAATTATTTATTGAAAGTAAAAAGTTTAATGTTAAAAATACAGTGAGAGATATTAATATTATTTTAAAAATAATGCATGAAAGACATAAGTTATATATACAACTTAGTAGTCATCAATTAAATTATTATCCTGAACTTAAATTATGAAATTTTATCTACATAAACTAATTTAATTTTAATTTATTAATTTAATTTTAATTTATTAATTTAATTTTAATTTATTAATTTAATTTTAATTTATTAATTTAATTTTAATTTATTAGTTTAATTTTAATTTATTAATTGAATTTTATTTTCTTAATTTAATTTTATTTTATTCATTTAATTTTAATTTATTAATTTAATTTTAATTCATAAATTAAAATTCTTGTAAAAAGTATTTAAAGAAATATTAATTATATATATTATCATACAAATGGTTGTATTTACAGAGGTTGAACAGGAAGAAATTATCAATGAATTCTTAACTTATATTGAACAACAGGAAACTAAAATAATTGATGGGTTTTTGAGTGATAATGATAATAAAACAGAAGAAGAAGAAGATGACAGTTACGGATTTGTAACTGAAAAACGGTTAGAAAAGGAAGTTACAGAACATCATAAAATGATAAACAATATTGAAACAAAAAATTACATCCCATTAAAACATGCAATGATAAAATATATGGAACAAACCAACAACCAACGAATAATTAGAAATGCTGGAAACTATTCATACAGTCAAAAGACATCCAATTGGTGGTATTTAAGCTTTAGAGAATTTGAATGGTTAATCGAAATAAAAAAGAATGGCAACAAATGGATTTGTAGCAAAGAAAAATTAGATGCAGTTGATTTTAACATATTGTATAAATATAAAATGTTTGAAAGAAGATTTGAATAATTATAAAAAACGAATGAACCAGACCTTGCCCATAATATTTCTACAAAATTTGTGATAAAATTTATTGTAAAATAATTTATCATAATTTTTGGAATAATATTTTTTGAAAATTTTGTAAAATTATATTTTGTAAAATTATATTATTATTATTTTAAAATTTATATTTTTTTGAAAATTTATTTTGTAAATTTTTGTAAAATTTATTTTTTAAAATTATATTATTATTATTTTAAAATTTATTTTTTAAAAATTTATTTTTTAAAATTATTATTTTTTGAAAATTTATTTTTTTAAAATTTATTTTTTAAAATTATTTTTTTTGAAAATTTATTTTTTAAAATTTTGTAAAATTTATTTTTTAAAATTTTGTAAAATTTATTTTTTAAAATATGGATGAACTTACTAGGAAATTACCTGCTTTAAAATGTTGATTTTTGAAAATGTGCTGTTTGAGGTGCTGTTTTAAAATGTTGCTAAAAGTGTGGGGAGGACCCTAGGTTTTTTTATAGAAAAAAGATGGGCAAGGTCTAGTCTAACTTTGGGACCCCTTTCACTCAAGCTCTTTTGGCCTCCTCAGAGTCCCAACTCTTGAGGCTTACGATGGAGTTCTTCGCCAGGCTCAGCTTCACCTCAGCCAATCGCTCTCTCGCGATAAGGAACTGGCGAGCTAGGCTCGCTGCCAAATGGTTGAGAACCTTCAGCGGCGCAACATCCTGAGTCAGATTCGACTCCGTGCTTCGGGCCCTGAAAAGTGGAAACACATATGATTCATATGATGGAGATCAAGGCAACCCTTTGTCCCCTTTGTTTCCAAAATGCTGCAGTTTTAGAGTGTGGAAGAACCATACAGATTCCAGGTGGAGCACGTCCTTCGTGCAAGAAGTGTAGTTCAATGCAGTTTGCACTCCTTGATCAGATTCTCCGAGAAGTCAATTCTCTGCAAATGAGCGTACCTCTGAGCCGTCCCAGCAAAATGGATGGGAAGGGGCTGAGGATTTGCTTCTCCAAACACCAATGATCCAAGAGCGGGCAAAGCCTTTGAGGCGGGATGGGGACACACCTTCCTTCGCATCCTACGGCGCTACGGCGGCGCGGCGTTGAGACCCCCGAAAACAGATCAGAGCTCTGATCAACAGCACATCCTGATCTACAGAATGGACAAGCGGCTGCCCGCCCGGACGCGAAAGTGGCAACAGCCCACTGACACAAACACGTCCCAAAACAGAAAAAGCCTGAGCCCACTAAGTCAGCCGTACAAGCTTAAATCCAGCCCCAAATCAATTCTAGATTCAAGAATCTTGAATCTGATCCTATGTCAACATTCACCCCAAACCAACCCCACCAAGAACAGCCATACAGCCACCTCTGAACCACGACTAACCTAAACCAGTCCAAGCAAACCCACCCAGCATGAGCATGGCTGCAATTGGGGTTGATCTATGTGCTATCTTGCAGCGGTACTTGCTGTGGGACTAGTAGCTGTGCAAATGGCTCCCGGCGCACCCCTCAATGGCCTTGATGGGACCGATGCGCTTTCCAATGCACTCGGCTGCCAGAAATGCAAGCCTGCCATGGTCACGCTGCGCGCGCACACACACACACACACGCACGCACGCACTCACGCACGCACGCACAAACACGCACATGTTGAAGGCCAAAGTGTGTTGGCCATGAATACTGGAAGCAGTTCGTGAACCGCGCCCTTGTCTGCACAATCTGCGGCAGGAGTACCCTGAGCCATCCACAGTCCTTCCCAAGTCCGAAAGGTCAAGCAACGGCTCGGAGAGAACCTGGCACATTGCCGCCTTCTGTCGAACATGACAGGAAGGAGACGGAATCTCAGGCATAGCTGGCAAGCAAAAGCTTACGTCTCAGAGTCTTCCCTGTCATCGCTGTCGCACAGCTCCCTGTTTCCTTGGATTGACCCTCTGGATTGGAACTCCTCTTTGCATAGCAAAGCTACATTCGAAGTTGCCAGCCCTTTGGGCTGAGAAGGTCTGTACACCGTGCGGTCTGCCTTTCCCAAGACTTGCACATCCCAGCTCCACTGTTCTGTGACAAAAGCAACACCAGCAGAGTCACACACAAACGTGCAAACGCCTGCCCAGGGTTCACGAAGTGATCCCGAGACATCACCTCTCGACTTTGTCAAAAATTGGAGGCTTGTGCTTAGAACACCGCATGCTTCAAGCACCAACGTCCAGTTATGACTGGCTGTACAAGTCCACAGGTGGACAAATAGGGCATGCAAGATAAGTGGGTGCTCGCTGTGGCGACACATAAGTTGTGGGAATCTCCCACTCACAATTCCCAGACAAAGTGGAAACTGTGGATTCCCTTTTGCTTCATGAGTTCAAGCATACAAACCAACAACCCCCCGGCGTTTCCTACGGAACAGTGTCCATCATCTGCGTGCCCAGCAAGGCGACTCGTCGGCACACTGCCTTGAAGCAGAGGGCCCACCTGTACAGCTCACTGAGATTCCTCGAGGTTCAGCCCTGGCCAGAGACTCAGAGACGCGGACTGGAAAGCGAGGGAGCCTTCGGAGAGGTGTGGATTCCTCCCCTCAGAAGGCTGGATTCGGAAAGAGCTGCTAGGGCTGCATTGGATCCATTCCGCTTGGCTCCCTAGCGATGCTACCCACAGAACGATCCCTTCAAGCGGTCCTTCTTTTGTAATAAGCATAGACATTGTGGTACCGCTCCCTGCCTTCTTCCCACAGGCCAGCAGCTCCGAGAATGCCTTTCCTGTCACGAGGCTAAAGTGCCCTCCCGACGCAGCCTCTCCCCTGCCACCCCCCCCCCCCCGGCGAAATGCGTTGAATGCTCGCCAGCAGCGCTCCAAGCATCAACCTTGGGCGGGGGAATGGCCGTTGAGGAATGATCGCAACTCCTTTTTGGTGGTCTCGGACTGCACATCTTGAACACCACCCCCATCCAAGAGTCAGGTGCTTTGCACCCTACACCCACTGTCAAGTAAAGCGCCATGAGTCTCCGGCGCTCTCCTGGCCCTTGTCGCCTCACGCTTGCCCAAAATGCCAGCCGCGCAGCATGTTTTGGTTGGAAGTTCGCCTATACACTCGCACGCCTACGCTGCGACGGGAGCCTTACGAGCACGAGTCATCTTGCAGGCTACGCGGACACCTTCAGTTTAAGTGTAGTAGTGTGCTATGAAAAGAATAGCTCCGACTTGAGCATCGCAGTTGTTCAGAATACGTGCAGTGCGCGAAGCACGCTTTGGCACTTCCAGCACGTGTTGAAAAAGTGCGACTTCAAACTGCGGGGCGCAGGGTTGTGACAGACTGCTGCAGAACCTGGGTAATGAGGGAAGATTCCAAGCACACACCAAAAAATGTCTGTGCAGAATCAACGCGGAGCCTAAGCAAAGTGTGTAGGTGCTCTTTGCAAAGGAAGGCGAAAAAGGGAAATCAACTTTACTTGCCCAAATTTCTGGAGCCTTTTTGTTCACAACATTCCAACAACAGAAGCCTACACGAGAGATGAAACGACAGCCTTCGTGCAACGGCCTACTCGAGGCTACCTCAAACCAGGATTGCCTCCGCAAACTGCACCCTTTTGGTATCAAATGAAACCTTTCGTTTGATGAACAAACGCTGCTCACATGCCCTGCCTGTCCGGCACTTGGAAGGATATGACGGATACGCCTGGCACTGCGTCTCGTTCCACATAGCTCCACGTGTGTTGTTTGTGGGCTATCATTACAGACACATTGATTTTTAGTCTGAATCCAGCAAGTTCTAATGCAAGTGTCAAGCAGTGTCTCTTGCAGAAGGTGCAGAGTTGCTCAACAAGGGAGTCTAATCAAGGTGGGCCTTCCTGGCAACTCCAAGGTGTCTTCAACCCAGGCGCAGTGCAAACACACCGCGCCTCCCTGCGCTTCGGCTCGAACTTTCCTGGCACAAGCGTTCCTTGCCTCTCACGAGGACTGCTTCAAGCCATGCCCATTCCCCTACCCCATTGGCACATGGATGTCCATTTGTCCATGTGGCCATAATTCAAAACCAATGGTACCATTTTGGGGTAGGTGAATGCACCACCCATTTTGGAATCTATTTTAGTGGGGATTGGGACATTTCACGGGGGGTACGCTTTGGATTTTGACCCATGGCCACGTCTCAGCTTGATATCACGGAGCTTGGGCCCTTTCTCGTTACTCGAACCCATCGGCTCCTGCACGGTTCGAAGGGTCAGGCGCGTCACTTGCCTTTGAGCCTGGCACTGGCAGGGTGTCCAAACAGAACCGCCGGAGAGACCTTGAGATATCCATTCCCTAGGTCCCATGTATTGGCTCTTGGTCTCAAGCGGCACCCAAGACATCCCTGTGCTGCGCTGGACCCATGAAGCTTTCGACCCACAGCCTGACAGCTTCGCTTGGAGCTTTGCCTGGTCAGATCAGAGAAACGAATTTCAGAAGAAGTCTTGGTCATGGTGGGCCTTACAAGCGCGTCTTCTGATTTCAGCACCCAAATCCAGGCAGGCCTTTCGGTTACTTGTGGTGCTGGAGCTAGCTTCACCTCTCAGCACTTCATGATACAGCACGTGCTCCGACATGCAAGGTGCGGCATGCCAACGGAATCATGAGACGCCAGAACATGTTAACATGGAACAAGCTTTTGTTGGATTCCACAAAAGAGCATTGGCTTTCTGGATGCAGGTCCGGACTCAAACTGTAAACACCTAGAGGGTTGGACAGCGGTTCACATCAATCTGAGGCCGCAGCTGGCTCCAACACTTCTGGAGTCCTTTGCTTTCTCCTCAGACAGTGTCCCCTGACAAAACGAACAGGCAAAGCACGACTGAGAAAGTCGCAAATTTGGCAAAGCAAGACAAAAGCAATTAACACCAGCACAGACCTCAAATAGCGAAACACGTGCCAACGATTGCTCGCCAGCACCTGTGGCAGAACTGCCCAAAGCGCACCTCAACCAACACCCCAAACAGCATCCCAAAACCGCGCCCGTCACCAGCCCCCCCCCCAAAACCACCCGGACAAGCACCCCAAACTGCATGCCCCCTAGCACCCTGCCATCAATCGCAAAAGTGTGCCCGCACCATCACCATCAATCTCGCGAGAGCGCCGGCACCATCACCTGCATGCCGCCCAGCACACGGCCGTCAATCTCGCAAAATGCTCCCGCACCGTCACCTGCACCACAAACAGCGCCCGAAAGAGCACCCCAAAACAGCACCTGCACCGGCACCCACCGTCAGTCTTAACAAAATGCGCCCGCGCCATCACCAGCAGCTCAAACAGCACCCCAAACAGCACCTACACCAGCGCCCTAAACTGCAGGCCCCTAGCACCCAGCCGACAATCTCGCAATTAACTGTCCCTTCTTTATTAGAAGTTCGAACCCCTCTAGCTTCAGCTATCTGGGGACAAAGGAAGCTCAGGGCCCTGGCCTGAGGCACGCTGCTGGCCTACAAGGCGTCAGGCTGCGAGTGCCATGTGCAGATTGAAGCCTTCTCATGCCAAGGCCAGCCCGAGCCTGCAACTTCTCCGGCGCGCTCTGTGAGCTGACGCTCTGAGCACCTTGGCATTTATGTCTGCTGCTCGCAGATGTGCACGCTCCCCTCATGCATCTACGCTTTTCAGAAGCATGTTGCAACAGTTGGAGAAACCCATTGCCCTTAGAGAGAAGCACTTGCGTGAAAAGAGCCGAAGTCTTGAGGAACAAAGCGCAACAAGGAAAGGGTTTCTACAGGGAGCATCGCGGGAGCACATTTTTTGAACTTGACAAAACACTAGTGCACAACTGTCAGTGTGTCCCTTCAGGAAATACAAGAAGCTGGCAAGCATGCAAACTCCCAAGATGCAGTTGAGACTTCTCCCTGCCGGGAATAATCGTTGTTTGCACTGGACTCCAGCGAACGTGCAAGAGTAGTTAATGCAAAATGATTCAGGGCAGTGGTGCGAGCGTCTAGCTGGAACTGCGGAGTCTATTCGCACCTGAGGGATTCCCAATCCAGCGTCAACCTTAGCCTTTCTTGTGAAGCCTGCTCTAAACTCGCCTGAGGCAAGTCCTTCAATGGACTTCAATGCCCCCCTTTCAGAAAGGTTCCAACTTTCACAAATCCTCGGGAATCAACATGAATCCTGACTTCGCAAGTACTTTCAGTGCCTTTATTACGAAGGCCGAAGGGCGAAGCCATGCGACCTGAGGCCCCCAGCCGTTAGAAACTCCTTTGGCTGCGCCGTTCGGAGCCTCCGAAACGTAGTGCACAAAATGAGAACGAAAGCACCAGCGCCAGTTTCAACACGCCAAACCTGTGTTGCCTGCGGAATGCTCTGTCAATAGTTGGTATGCTTGTTGAATCAATGGAGCCCTGCGGCCCAAAAAAAAAAAAGAAAAAACAGCTGCTGATGGCCGTTGACTGGGCGAATTGCTCTTAGCCGCTGTCGATCCCAGCCCGATCCCCTGGATTCACAGACTAAGACCTTGGCCGTCGCCTGCAGAAGCTTGGCCAATGCTTCCACCGCCTGGCTCAAGAGCTTAAGCCACACCCATCTGTCCTAGCAAAATGAACAGGTCATAAAATATCTTCAAATTGGCTCTGTGCACGACCATGTATTTGGCTAGCCAATTGCTGGCCCAGGCAATGCAAGTTGAACTGCCAGCCTGTGGCTGCGTTTGCTTTTGCAGGCCTGCAAATGCATCCTAAACTTTTGCGATGCAAAAGCGTTCTTGAGTGATTGCATGAGCTCATCGCTGATCATGTGGGCCACGGTTGAAATTATTGTCGCCAGGGAGATTCGATGAGACCCTCCT